AGACGGGTGTACGCCATACAGTGTGCCATAAAGGAAATGTTGCCAGGACGGCGGCGCTATTTTGAATTCCAGCTGTCAAGGGTTCTTTTATGTGCATGTCAACGTGTACATGTTCCTCTGAACGACTATGCCTTTTCCCCTGTCAGGCACTCAGTCCTACACCAATGGTGAATGGTAACCACGTCTGAAAATCCCGACCATCTAAAACGAGACCTCTAGGTTAGCGATCCAACGGCGTACTCACTGACCCACCGCGTGTATGAGTTAGTACGCGGTAAAATGACGCAGGTGTAACACCGGAAAGAATGGCACAGGTATTAACGGCACAGCAGAAATAACGTACGAAAAGGTTAGGAATCTTAAACCTTTATAGTAATTGTATTTGAAAGTATTAGAAATAGTGGTTAACGATTTTTTCGAGAATTAAATCTCCCCTTTGCTCAGATTTTAGCACTGGACTTTCTACTAGAAAAACTTGGGTTGAATCGGTATTTTTGATGTCCGGTCTTCACTTGGCATGGATAGCGTTTGCGAGACTAACAGCGAAATTGAGTCTTGTAATACGAATGATTAAGTAAAACCAACGTACACCCGTGTACAGGTTAAGAGTCAGTGGTGCAAGGCGGAGGGTCTGAGAGATGTCTAGTCGTTGGGATTGTTCGAAAAACCGGGGTCCCATGTACACACTGCTTGCACGTAAAAGATCCCCTGGCAGTTGAAATTCGAAATAAGAGTAGGCCGTAGCGCCGCTGCCCCGGCAAAATTTCCCCCATAGCACACTTTATGGCGTATGTCCATCTTCATTAGCCCAGTCGGAGCAGAATAGTAGGAGGTTAAACACCATTTCGTTTTAGTTTCATTTCATTTACAGATTGTAGAACCCCTGACAGCAAAATTGGCCCTACCTCGCATTGCACACGTTTGTCTCAAGGGAGGTGCTAATACAAATTAGCATCCCCCCGTCTCAAAATAAAGGAAGTAATGTGTTTGAAGTTTGGTTGGTGTGTACAAGATCTGACGTGTTCCTAATTAATTCCCAATCTGATTAAAACACAGATACTATTTCGTTTCGTTTTTTATAATTCAAAATTTCGTTTTACTTGTCTTTACTACACTAGGATCTGGAATAGTTGTTATATTACCGGCGTTTTGGTTGAAGTGAGGGATAAGCCAAAGAAACAGTCTGTTACGGCGGCTTTTTGGCGTGTGATTCACGGAACTGTGGGCAAACCAATAGAAACGTCAACGCTGATTGGTTAATCAATGTCTGACGTTATAAGGTCACATCCTGTAACCTCGGGCCTCCCAAATTGGGCCCCGCATACACGTTCCTAATATAAATTCTATTTTCGAAAAAAAAAAACCTTCAAAATGGGCCACGAAAGCCGTTTACGGTACATTTTGCGAAAGCTTGGGAACACTTTTGTATCTATTGGCAATACATTTCTAGATTCTGCGTTGCATAGTTTATGAGATATTCGACATCTAATTCGCTAATTTTTATCTAAAAACGCATAAACCTGTCGATGACCCGGGAGGCAGAAGTGGACTCTAAAGGCCGTGTTCAATAAGAAACCGTCGCGAAAAACCTTATTCCGACAAAACAAGTGCCAGAGTAAATACGCTAAATATCAAACAGACTAGTCTTAAAAGGGAAATATATGCGTGGCTTCGGTGACAGAGCTTTTAACACTTCTTACAATCGATGGGCTAATCTGAATTTTAAACTATACAAACTATTTTGTAGAGCATTTACCTGACGCACGACACATGGATGACAACAATATATAGAAGTGTGGGCAAAGACAATATTATTTAAAATAATACGTTGCTAAAAGTTTATTATAAGTTAAGATAAGTTTTTTTTTAACAACGACGTTATTTGATTTATTAATTGATTTTAAACATTATTTTTTGATAAGGCATAGATTTTTATTTGTGGTTTCCCTGTTCTATGCTTTCTTATAATTCAAACAAGATATTTTTAGTATAACTTAAAATAACAACGAAATTATTTGATTTATTAATTAATTTTAAACATTATTTTGTGATAAAGTATAGATTTTTATTTGTGGTTTCCCTGTTCTATACTTTCTTATTCAAAAAAGATGATTTTAGTATAACGAAAATCACATTTCCTTTAAAGATAATTCTATTTCAATGTCAAATTCATTAGTATACTTCCAGCTGTGGAAATTTTACTTATTTTATAAAGCTTACTAAAAAAATCTTTCAAAGTCTATTACGTTGTTATGATATAATTTTAAAATAAAATGAAACATGGTATTTTGTGAAACGTTTATTTAGATACTAATTTTAATTTATCGTCTGTAAATTAATATGTTTGGAGATTTCTAAATGCATAATACATCACCTTTATTTCATTATGTTTTTTTTCATAAAATTTTACTCTAGCACTATTATCTATTTGAAAATAAGTGTTCATTAACCCCCCACCTTTACCTGGATTAACAAAAAACCTAACAAATCGTGATGTTTATTATGAAGAATCTTAAAATAGTTCTCAACCTTTCTTCCATCATTTCTTCATTGAAATTTACCAATGGTGAACTCTATTCCAACTTCTTCACAGTAATTCTGACCTACCTGTAGCAGACGACAGTGGTTATTGACACAGTAGACTACATACACATTAAAAACAGTGAAAAATTTCTCACTCGATACAATTTATTAACAACTTACCAGAAAGCGACTATAGGCCTATGATTAAATTAGCCGGGCCATCTGTAGAACCATCACTATTGCGGTTAAAGATTTTGATATACTTCCAGGCTGAATAAACTGGGAGAACACCATGGTGTTGAAAGCAAATTAATCGAAAAGCAAACATCGCGCACGACACACATCACTTTACTTTCTACTTAGTTCCCCCGCATCCCAACACCCGTTCCCGCCTTTTTTGTTAATAGATTGTTGGTTTTTTTTAAAAAGTAGGACGAAAGATGCACGTGGCGTTATTTCCTACACCTGTACAAATATTCTCTAAAATGCACTGAACAATAAAGCACGAGTTTCTTACTTTACCACGTAATGTATTGCGAGACGTTTTGGAACAATTATGATGATTTAGTTTGCGCCTTTTGTTTAAGTGCTTAGGTATTTATGAATATCACCAGGTTATTTTATCCAATTTTTATTTTGTTCACTGTAACGGTATTTTGGGTTTCAATGATTCAACAGTTTGTTTTCTCAGTGTACTTTACGGCACAAGAACCCATATGAAGTGGTCTGAAATACCAGCCAGTACGGTGTTGATGAATAAACAGACTTAATGACCTGAATTAAGAATTAAGTAATTAAAGTTTTGTTTATATGGTAGAGAGGTGATGACGATATTAACCAATGGATGAGAAATGTAGACCACGATATCAACGTGTCATCATCTGGATGGTAAAAAATCGTCTATTCTGCCTCGAATATCCGTGGGAAATGATAACAAAATTACAAAGTATTTTTTAACATTTTAATTTGGTCCGAAAACTGCAGTCAAGTGTTACTGATACTAGACCATCTTTTCGTTTACATTTACACAACAGTAAGGATTGACAACATCTAGGATGCCTCTAGTCAACTAAAATGTGCTTTGGCTTGGACTGAAGTGGTTTTCACCAATCACTGTAGCTAATGTTTCAAAGAGATTATGGAATTTATTCAATCTGATTAAAACACAGATCTATATTTCCTTCCGTTTTTTTATACTTTCGATGGCCTACACTACACTACAGTGTAGGATATAAATACAGACAGACAGAAATGGGGTTTAACGTCCACTCGACACAAACTAGGTCATTTCGGGACTAACACATGTTTCAATTTTATTTCAATTATTCGCTTGCGCGTAGGGGTCTTTAGCAGCGAGAGGAAACCGGGGGACCCGAGGATGTAAATAACTTTAACTAGGCCTATATTCATTCATATATGAAAAATTAATATCAAGGTCTAAAGGACTTGGATATCAAATCTGTAGACTTTAATAATGCATTCAGAAAAGTCGGGTTTAGCGTACTACGTTTCTGCTCACACCGGGATATGAGAGACAGAGAGAGAGAGAGAGAGAGAGAGAGAGAGATGGGGTTTAACGTCCACTCGACACAAACTAGGTCATTTCGGGACTAACATATGGTTTCATTTTATTTCAATAATTCGCTTGCGCGTAGGGGTCTTTAGCAGTGGGAGGAAACCGGAGGACTCAGAGAAAACCCACGAGGTTGGATAGGCGACCCTACTCCTTGTCACGTACAACCGGGGATTCGAAACCACGCCAGTTAACTCAATGACAGGCCTTATGATACAGCGCGCACATGCTAACCATTCGGCCATCCAAAACCCGCACCGGGATATGAAAAATTATGCAGTGTGCTACTATGGAACCGTCGTCTGGACAGCGGTGTTTCCAAATACTTTCCGAATTCAAACTGTCAGTGGTTCTTGTATTTGCATACGGGACCTCGGGTTTTCGTACTATCATAACGACTATACGATTTTTAATGAGAGACTACACAAGGGAAAATCGGGATGGAAAATCGTGAGGACTTACACTGAGATCAAACCCAGGAGCTCTCGTTTAGTGCTACCGTGGGCAGGGACGTGGTGAGGACTGAGCGGCTTTCTTCGACTAAAATAGGTCGTAAAAGTTGACCTCGACCATTGAGGAAGTATCCCATTACAATAGTGTAGTTCAACAGCAAATGACCGGTAAAACTATCTAAAATCTTCTGACATCGTTTTCATTGCTCGGGAGTTACTGTCTGTTTCATAATCATGTACCCCACACCAGACCTCCTGACATTCTGAAAACTCCTCGGATTTGGCCCACTATATTTTTTCTTAATTTCTTCAACACTTTATTGTGGGGGGGGGGGGGACAAAATATATGATAGTATGTAGTGGGGCAAAAAAATAGGAGTGACACCAATAATAAAATGGCGCATTAGTATCCCCCGAACGTGGGTCCCCACATATACAGAAAAGAACAAAAATAAGTTAAATTTTTTAATATATTGTTTACAATGAAGATCAATATTTATCAATGCCCTGTAACTTGTGGGCTTAATTTAGTCAATAACAATTAAATAATATAATATATTGACCTGTTACTCTGGTCCCATACTTTATAACTTCTAAATGATGAAATATCAAACGTGAAATCAAATAACAAAGACAAAGAACAACACTGGATATATGTGCATGAACAACAATTAATAAGTGTCAAATTTAAAAAAGAATTTAAAGGACGTGGTCTACCTATTTCTATATTGTAACAATAGTTACATGTAGAAGACAGCTACTGGGATCAACTTATAAAAACTTTCTGCCTCAAAAGTCACAATAAATTAAAGATTGTGTCGGTTCATGACGTTCTTAGTGGAACCAGGACTAGTAATTGTCAGATAGAAGGACAGAAGGACAAATAACACTTCTTTTACAAAGAAAATTTACCAATTTGATAGACTTAATAAAAATATCCCCGTTTCGTATCTGGGCGCCATATTTATTACGGATACATATACTTTCCCGCGTATTTATCGGGTAGTACTTTCCAATAAAATATGGCATTTGGTAGTTTGGGCCGATCAGCCATTACGAGACTCAACATGCGCAGACCGCATGTTTTTTGTTTTTTTTTAAAATTCTACTTGAAAATAGTGTTTAAATATTGTAAATTTGTGTCAAATATGGCGAGAAATGATGCCTTTTGGCGAAAAATAAAGAATCACGGTGAACAATAGAAGGTAAGGATTCCAAAATAGCCTTAGAACAGAGGTGGGGAAGAGCGGTATTTTCATATTGCAGCTATATAGAGATGGATAGGAACGGCCAGCGGACATCGTCCGATCAGAGACCGTTCCTAAAGGAACTAGGCATCTGGTATTATAAGGAAAGTAGAGACATCCAAATACTGAATACTTGAGTCCTTGAAAACACCCATGGGGAAAAAATGTAAGGGAATAACCAACTGTCGGCTTGTCTGCTCCACAGCGCAGGAAACACTTATAGTATCTGTACATCGAATAGCTTTTACGACTTAGGGTAGTTCCTTGGATTAAAATAGTTTGGGAGGCATTTGGAGCAAACTTTTGATAGACAAATTCGTTTGAATATGTTGTAGTTCAAATATATCATCAAATCACACAGTTTGCATATGGGAAAGTATGTATAAGCGCCGGTTGTTAACAAATTCTTTAATTAAGTCTAAGCTTGAATTGACGTGCCTATAATTTTTCTAAAAGTCGATAGATATCATAACTTTATACTAACAATACATTGAATGCTGACGAGCACGTCTATGTCTATTAGTCGTTATATGGACAACACGCAAAAAAAGCAAATAACTATTTTATACATTAATTTAGAACATTTAGATTTTCATGTACATGGTTTCTAGAACTATAATAGCTAACATATAATACACATAACTATTTGAACAATAGTAATTGTAGTATACATCACCTCAAAACAAAGCATAATCAGGGACATAATAAGGGTATAATGTTCTGCATAATCATGATAACAGCACATAAAATACTCTAAATATTGCTAACAAAACCAACAAGATATCACAAACACACGTGTAATAATAACTCTATATAAAATTCATGATGTTTAAGTTAACAATAATAATGAGATGTAATGAAAAATGCATCATATACATATTGCACCAATTAAATCTAATTTACATATACATACATTTACATTTATATATAACTATGTATACATACATACCTGGAGACAGCACTGATTTTTAAATCTAATTCAATGTCTTAATTAATAACCACACGGCTTAGAAACTTTTTATTTTTCTGTAGACTATTATTTCAATATGTTTTTGTCTTGAAATATATACTTTTGTTTAATTATAACTTTTGTTTACAAGTAAAAGGGAACCCTATGCATTCATCAAGACACAGTGCTATGTGACTGAACACATCCTTTAATTCCCTTACCCAATTGATAAAAAACCCAGCCTGATATTAGACTAGCCTGCCACCATCCCTGATTATATCTCAACTTTTCTTGTTAATTAATGCCCTGGCAAAATATTCAGTTCTTTTCAGTGTACCCCCAAAATAGATGTTGTTTTAGGTTTTATTTCAGTAAGTTTTGGTGATGTTTAATGGACTGATAAGAAAGGAACATTGTTGGTTTGTTCTTAATGGTAAAATATGTTATAGATAGTAATTAATATGTTGAATGAGATGAAAATTAAGTGTGTGTTTGATTGAGCATCTCTTAATGTTCTTTTTGTTTAAAGCAATGATTAACACTAAATGATTACAAAGCATGAATAAACCAATAATTCTTAAATTAAGATCATGAATCCAGATTCAAATACTGAACAATCAAACACATGCTCAAATAAATCTAAATAAAACTAGATTACAATTTATAACAATTTAACCCACTTTCTATTACAACTGTGTCCTGTCAGTGACATCCACCAGTCATATTATAACTTAAACCTAGCAGATCAACTCTTAATACAGAAATGTGTTTTAAAATTCCCATAATTCATCACAAAGTGAAGCACTGTATACCAATACAGACAACTTGATTGGAGAATAATAATTTAATTTGATCTGAACACTGTTTATAAAGAAAATATGTCACATGATACTGTAATACAACATAATAAAACAAAACATAAATCATATTGATTGTTATATATATAAAGGAATGTATAATCGTATATATATATATATACAGTATTGAAACAGTATGTAAACCTTGTACCACTGATGTTATACATGAGGTAGAATGAATTTACAATTTTCCTTAATGGAGTAACAAACCTTGTTCTAGTCCTGAGAATCTCTGTTATACTTAACGATAAATTTACAGTTCATAAGTGGTGTTGACCATAAGCTTCCAAATTCTATGCTGTGTTAGCGTCTGGTGTTGATATTCTAGACGTAAGTGATTGTCTGATTATCAAGTCATGCATACAAACCCAGAATGGAATTCCTTAATTGACTTATGTAACCCTATCAAGCAACCCAATGGCACAACATTTTGATTTGAAATTTCTCCCCAAGGTAAATAGGCTATACCGTCACGTTTGATTAACATACTTACAACCCCTGTTTATGTATGGTGTCCTGTGAACCCTGGTTTTTTTTTTTATAGATAAGGTGTGTTATTAATGTGCCATAATTGTACTCTTTGTGTCTTTTATAAAATAAAATTTAATTGCAAAACAGAAAATTGTTTAAAGGATAATTTTTTTATTTTACTTTGTTTCTTAATGGTGATAATTCTAGAAACGCTCAGATCTGTTGAAACAAAACACTTCAATAACATCATTTTACTTATTGATATATTTTGTTCCGATTTATTATGTTTCAAGATTTTAGTAACTGACAACATTACAAGAAGAGACATAAACTGAGGTGTGACTCCTTGCTTACACTGACTGGATGGCAGGTTGGTGTTTAACATTCACTTCCACACAGTGTGATATCGCAGACAAGTTGTTATATTTTTATATCTCCAAGCCACACACGCTCACACAAGGCATCGAAACCACGACTGCTAGAGTGGCCAGCTAGAGCTCGAAGTGTTACACTCTAGACCACAAGGCTTTCCCAACTCCCTCATAATTTTACGATACAAGTTCATATAATTAATTTATAAGCAGTGAAAAAGTAGTAGTTTCTTACATCTTAAATAGAGCTTTAGCAATCAACTGTTACTCATCAAGACAACTAACTTGCAACATCACCTCTAGGTCCATGAGTAGAATGTAGGCCTACAGGTTGATAGCGAAACCCCAATCACTGGAAACATCAGTAATTTCATTATAATTATTTAAGAACTTTTAGTTTTTTGTGCATTTTTGATTAGTTTATTGGTCAACTTTCAGGAATAGTTATAGCCTTTCATTTGATGTTAAAAGAAAGACAGTATAATCTGAAGCAATAGAAGTCATGTGAAGCAATGTGGGCCTTTAATTGACATACACTAGTAATAAATTAGGACTAAATATGCCTATACATTTCTAGTAATCTTTTAAATTACATATCTAATGCCCCTTCATCTTCTAAAATCATCTGGAATTTTGCAGCTCTGTGATCTTCGTCCATCTAAAAAAAATCAATTAAAAAGTTGAACAGTGAGTGATAGCATACAATGTCAGTCAATCTACTTTGTGAAATATCTCACAAGTCTACTCAATTGACGTGGATAGTGTTATGGCACAAGTTCATATAATTAATTTATAAGCCGTGAAAAAGTGTGTTAAATAAATTGATGATTGTACAGTGCCTTTTATGATTATCTATAATAAGTTTCCTACTTGATAAATGAGTCTATGGTTAACTTGTGATTCCCTCCCTTTACCACATCCATAAAGCACAAGTTCATATAATTTATTTATAAGCAGTGTTAAAAAAATTGACCACTGTACAGTGCCATTTCTGATTATCTATAATAAGTTTCCTACTTGATAATTGAGTCTATGGTTAATTTGTGATTCCCTCCCTTTACCACATCCATAAAGGTCATGCTGTCCTCTGTAACTGACCGCAGGGGCAAGTGAGGCACATGTCTATTATATATAGCCCTATCCACATGTGTTGAGCACTTACATATTAGATCCAAAGGGTGGAACACTTCCCCAAAAATCACTATAAGATTTTAATAGACCTCTTATCGAAAGGAGCTAATCTACTTTGTTTAGGTCAAAATAAAGTATTGAATTGGGGTTAATCTAATGTGTTATCTGGATTAGTGATGGGACAAAGCACAATACAATTAAATCCTTATTTCGAAATATTCAGTTGAAGTTGTATTATTTACTCCATAAATCTGCCTACTGTAGGTCTTTATTTTGACTTCAAATGTTATATAAACTATTATTTAGACATTTATTAACATGACAAACTAGATTATCGGGCAGCACAGATTTAAATGGATCAGAATGCCAGCAAGATTAATCATAAAATGGATAATTGAGACTTAGTCTTGTTTGTCCAGTATAGATGCTACGATAATAAGCAATCTATCTATGCTACATCTTCCAACACTTATTATAACTTCACTCAGAATAAAGTAATTTGAATGAAATTTTCAATACATTCATTTTTCATGATCTATTTTGGAACAACTATAGCAAGAATGGCTATCTCTTTATCTAAATCTTACATAATGCATCTTTAAAATTTGGCTTACAAAATTGGTTATATCTCAACCCAGACTTTATATATGGATGTTCAAATCTACAATGAAGACATAGTATCATTCTACAAAATCAAAGAGGTCTATAGTCATTTTAAAGGACAATATTGGTGTCAATTGTCAGTCATGTGATAATGACTGACACCAATATTGTCCTTTAATGTCACATGAATAGGGTCTGAAGTAGAGTAGTATGGGCCCGAGATCCGTTCACTTGACTTGATATACACATTTTTTTCATTGCTTGCAGTGTTTATGTACTTTCTGTGTCTTGTCAGCAGGTTTGTCTCGTGGGTTGTTTTGTTGTATGGTACTATCCTCTTGCACTTATATCAGGCATTAAGTAGTGATGCCAGTCGTAGCTCCACAGGGTATCTGACTGTCTATAGTTAATTTTTTATGTTTGAATTCTTACCTGTCTGGCCATTTCCACAATAACCAGTAATTTCTTGATTCCTATAAATATTCTGAAATAAATAAAATTAAATAATAAATACATACAAATGGTAATAATAACTCCAAGGCTCCATAGTCATCTGTCATAATTGCTCATTTCACGAACTTAAAATGATATTGCTAAACTGTAGCTAATTCTTAATGATTTGATATTACCAGTAATAGAAAACCCACTAAACCACTTTGGCTGTTATAACGAAATAACTTTACACATTTTCTCAAACACTTTTGCTCAAAAATCCCAATTAGGTTTAATTTAGTGAAAGGCAGCCACATGTTTGAATATAAGTAAAACTAGTTTGGCATGTGTAAATGAAATGCCCCTAATCATACAGCACGTTCTTGTAGTTAGTCTCTAGCATGATTCTAATATGCCCAAGGGTTACACTATTCATACTGTTCCACTTCATCTTGGTTTAAATATATTTCTTTATAGGGATAGTTGAGTAATCATGGAGAATGTGATTGGTCAACTCCACATCCAAATATACAAATCTAATTCTATGATACAGAAAATTTGGCAAAATCTTTTTTGATAGACTTTGTTAATATCGAGATATGTTCAGAGGTCCAAACTTGATATCAAACAAAAATATTACAACTGATATATATTTTTTAAGACTTAAGTATAACTATATAATTTTATCTTTCAGATGACTAATTAAACTTACCGTTTTCCTGCTGTTTTTCTTCGTAATTTGTCTATGTCAGCTTTGGAAAAAACATCACTATTCTCTAATATTGCAATTAGTTGTTCGCTAGTAGAAATACTAGACACATGAACAACTGTATTAAAAGCACTCAACATTTCCATCTCCATCAACACATCTTTACGACTTGTAGTTCCGATAACTAATAACTTACGACCCTAAAAACGAAAACATACTATGCCAAAAAAGCTTACGGTAATTGTTTCCTGATAAATTATTATTATGCCATATAACATCTTGAGGAGTGGTTCACTAACTAGGAAGTCCAGGGTGGATACAGGCTGAAGGGCCTAACAAGGACAGCGTATAGTCGTTCAGATGGAACAAAAAACTGAGGTCCCGTGTACATCATAGTATGCAGGTAAAAAAAACCTTGACAGTTGGAATTCAAAATAAGAGTAGGCTGCAGTGTCGATGTCCAGGCAATTTTTCTCTTATAGCAAGCACACTGTATGGTAAATTAAATCCTATTTCCTTGAACAAAACACCAAAGAAAGCTTACAGACAGTGATAAACACAATATTAACCAGCTTTATTCACTAATATCTCTCTGGGATGATTCCTTTAACAATTTCTATTTCTATAAGATTATGTACCGGTATGGATATTCGTTTTGTATGTATAAAAGAAAATCAATACATACCAATGGTGGAGGTTTCTTTAGTAATACTAACAATGCTTGCAATACTAAATTAGAGAATCTTGGTCCAATAGGTACATAATCTGTAAGATATTTCAGTATAAACTATATACCATGGTGATTCAATGAACTCACAAATAAATTAAAGAGGCATTACCACTTTTGCTAAGAAAATAAATTTAATCAATTTTGGATATCATATTGAAAAAGATAGGTTGCCAGGCAACAAAACATATGCCCACAGTAGCTATATCGTCCGGGCAGTCAACAAGAGTAGTCGCATATTTTTACGTTTTTCGGTAATGAAACATTTATAATACATTAAAATCTAATTAAGAGTAACAACTCATAAGAATTTGTTCTGCCCCATGCTAACGTTTAGTATACGAAACTTTAGCTGTTCAAGTCATAAAGATTCATTGAAAATCAATATACTTGTTCGTCTCAAGAACTTAACCTCTGTGTATCAATCTGAAGTCAATCTGATATTAACTTTAGCCTCTAGAGCGTCCACAAGATTTTTCAACGTAATCAAGGGCCATAACTCTGGCAAAAATTATCGGAAATCGCTGAAAATCAATAGGATTCTTCGTCTCATGACCTTAAACACTGTGTATTAATTTAAAGTCAATCGGATATTAACTTTAGCCTCTAGAGCGTCCACAAGATTTTTCAAAGTGATCAAGGGCCATAACTCTGGCAAAAAGTATCGGAAATCGCTGAAAATCAATAGGCTTCTTCGTCTCATAACCTTAAACACTGTGCATAAATTTAAAGACAATCAGATATTAACTTTAGCCTATAGAGCGTCCACAAGCAATTGTGGACACCGGACACGACAACAATATACGACCACATTTCAATGTGGGCGTATGATGATATATAATACGTAGTGCTGTTAAATTCCTTTAAAAGCACTATAAAATATTGTAAATTCCTTTAAAAGCACTATAAAATATTGTAAATTACATTTAAAGGCACTATCAAATATTGTAAAGGGTAAATGAGTATTAAGAAAATATTATAATTATCAAAATAATTTTACCTAATAATCTCTCAATATCATCTATAATAATACAACTAAGTGGTGACTTGTAAGCATCATCAAAAATCTATAAAGAAAAAATGATCAAATAAATTTGCATTTTGGGTTGTCCATTGTTAAAACTATTGTATCATGTACGTATACTAAAGAATGCATAAAATATACAGAATCTGTAACAGTTGAATTTTTCATTTAAATCAAACCAATCATTCAAAACTGCATTCTTTACAACTTGAGAGCGTGTCCGCGAGAAAACCATGCAGAAGGTGCTAAGGCTTCAATCACAGATTTTGACCAAATTTGGTTTATAAGTTGGGATAGTCCCAAAACACATAAATGTGCAATATTAGATAAATCTTTCAATTCCTGTATGAGAAAATTGAAAAAACATTTTTCATATGGTGAAATTGCCAAAATCTGTCTTTTCTCAAATACCAACTTTGGCAAGTCCTTACACCTTTACTATACGTAACAGAAAGACCAAACTCACACAGTTTATCGATGACTCAGTGCTGTTAGCACAATATTAACTTCAGACGATTCTGGCGAACGAGATCTGTATACGGATTGGATATCAAAGCCTGTCTAAATTCCCCATTTTTCGTCACCCAAAGTTTGACGCCCTATAGCTACTTCTTTCATGGGGTGTGTTTAAAAAATTTATGCTCACGTGAACAAGCAACCTCCCAACATTTGATACAAAATATAAAAATGGACGGAATCGACTTGACAAAAACTAGGTAAAGGAAACAATAACCCATGAAATTAACCTGTAATTTCCCTATTTTTGAGATAATTAACCGTAGTAGATAAAAAAAACCTAACAATTTATTTTCCTTTTCATTCATATGGTGTTTACTACCAGCACTAAAATACATTAGTATCTGTTTTATAAAAATATCTTGAAAAAAAATACTTTCAAAGGCTTGTAATCGTTCATGGCTCATCTGGCGTCAACGGGAATTGACTTCTGCAGTTGTCCACGACCTTCCATTGGAGTTTCGACGTGCTCAATCTTAACAAACATATCCATTACTCTCAAATAGACATTATTGTAAATAAAATAATCCAACGAAAATGAAAAATTCACCTAAAAGTGAGATTCGACCCACCAACCGCATGACTTCCCCCGACCCACCCTCTCACCGAGTTGCTTGTCCCAGGGCCCCAAGGTCCATGTCGTGGGCCCTGTTCAGGGGGTTTGCCTAGGGCCTCTCTTATTCTAAATCCGGCCCTGAAGGTGCAGCTGACGGTGCCCAAGAGCTGTAGCTACCATACTACACTGTTCAATGTCACCCACTTCAACGCAATTAGGCTTTGTTGCCTTTAATATTTAAGCTTCCACATTTCTGTATTGTAGAAATCAGTGGATGTGTCCCAAAATGAATAGTGGAAACATGCTCTGAAATTAAACATTTTGTAGCCATTTTCGGTAACTTGTTTGAAAATGAAATCTTAAAGAGACAATACAACAAATATGTTAAAGGGACAATATGACAATATCAAATATACAATAAATACAAATACACACTTATATAGAGTACAACATGGTACAAATAATGGCTATGGATATGATGAAAACGTATAAAAGTCAAAAAATTTATTTCTCTAATTAAATTTGCAAAAAAATGTATCACAAAAGCTTATTTTCAGCACTTTTCAATAAGCTGTATATTTTAAGTATGTTGCATTCCGGTCATTTTTTTTACACCTATGGATACTATGTGCTTAGCACTTCAAAACCATCCAAAGAAATTCTACTTGTGACCATGAAAGAAAAAGTTACAGTGTATCTTTTTCTGCCCTATAAGGACAATGTGAATATGGTACCCTAAAACAAGTCCACACAAAATTAGTATGTACTGATTTTTTTTTTCAAATTAGTGCTGGGGTAGAAGTTGACCACCCGCTTTATCAGACAGGGTCAAAATTAGAAGGTTGCTATTCCACCATAGAATGCAGTCTGTGCTTAAAAAGGGTGATAAATACACATGTGAAAACCGCAATTTTTCCCATAAAATGAATAATTCCTGTACAGTCCTTTAGAGCGACATCAGACAGTAACCACTTCAGCATGTTACCTCTTGCCCCTAGGGGGTGTCATACCATAAGTTTGATCAAAAACTTCCGACCCCCCATCTTAGCACTTTTTGCGATTTTTGCATGGTCTTCTCACGGATACACTCTTAATGTGGTGTTGTGTGGTTGCAGAAATTTCTAAGATGAGTTGCCATTCAACACAATCTATCATTGATTATTTATTCACACAGAAATGCTATATTCATATTTTTGTTTAACCTAATTCAATAGTTATGATTTGTTCAGTGAGACCTACCTTTTTAATTGCCTGACATTTAGCAGATTCTGTAAATCCAATCATATTGCTTGGAGAACAAAGTTTTGTGAAGGGGAAATCCGCTAATCTTGCGATTTTAGCTGCTAAAGCAGTTTTACCAGCTCCAGGAGTTCCTATAAAAGAATATCAGCACAAAATTAACCACAACAGTTTTACCAAGCATGCTGTCAAACTTTGACAGATTTATGTAAAAATGATAAGAAATTTGAACACCCATGTGTATGAGAGTGCAGAGAGAGAAATGGGGTTTAACGTCCACTCGACACAAACCAGGTCATTTCTAACATATGGTTCAATTTTATTTCAATAATTCGTTTGTGCAAATTTCATAGGGGTCCTTAGCAGTGGGAGGCAACCGGAGAAAATCCACGAGGTTGGACAGGTGACCCTACTCCTTGTCACATACAACCGGGGAATTGAAACCACGCCAGTTGACTCAATGATAGATCTTATGATACAGCGGTATGAGAGTGGATCTGCTAAGTTTAGGGTTATAATATGACTAATTGACATCATTTACAGAACATGGTTGTGATAGAAAATAAGTTAGAATTACATTGTATGGTGATAAGATAGAAAATAAGTTAGAATTACATTGTATGGTGATAAGATAATTATAATTAAATTGTGCATACCTTCTAGTAACATAGAAACTAATGGTGTTCTATCACTAGATTTTGCCTGTGCTACAACCAAGTCACCATCTTCGAGAACACGTTTAACAGGTTCACCCCACGATAATATATCATTGATTAATAACTCATCTATCTGTTCTTTACTACTACCAAATGCCTGAAGTGTAATAAAATCATATTAAAGATATATGTATCTAAGTAAGCACATCATACACATTACTATAATATGGGTTAAGAGTTAAAATTATGTCTTGCACTCTGCTCCAATTAGACATTTTAATATCAATCAAACTCGAAGTAGGAATTTCACCCCTTTAAATTTCAATAGTAGAAAGGGGAAATAAATTTTGTTTAAATATTTTATTTTTCTCAGAAATATTCTAAAACTCAATTAATTTTTTGCTCTGGTGTACATTTTGTAATGTGTCTGTGAAAATGATCACTTACCGATTTGACATCATTTTGTAATGCATGCATAAAATCTTTTCTGGTAACGGACAGTTTTTCTACAGCAGATGTATCCACTTCGACAGTAGATGTGGCCTGTAAAATAAATAATTCTTAATTGAAGCTATTTCACTCTTTAAGTTATGATTTTCGGGAATAAAGTAACAGATATTGTGTACATTTAAATCCATCTCAATTATTTATATTGTGTACATTTATATCTATCTAAATTATTTGTATTGTGTACATTTAAATCCATCTCAAGTTTTTATATTGTGTACATTTATATCCATCTTAATTATTTATATTGTGTACATTTATATCCATCTTATTTATGTTGTGTATTGTATGCATTTATATCCATCTTAATTATTTAAATTGTGTACATTTATATCCATCTTAATTATTTATATTGTGTACATTTATATCCATCTTAATTATTTATATTGTGTACATTATAAAATTATTTCCATCTTAATTACTTATATTGTGTACATTTATATCCATCTCAATTATTTAAGAAACCCTAGCTAAATGGCATTTGTTTAATTTTGAAGAATCCTTCACCTTTATAAGTCTATTCATGGCAGTTGACTGAGCAGCTCGAACCAAACCTTCAATCTCAGCACCACTGAAGTTTTTGGTAAGACCAGCCAACTCAGCAAGATCAACATCATGATTTAGTTTGCTATTTTCTCTCATTGTTTCTGTATGAATGTTTAAAATCTGGCCTCGTCCTTTCTCATCTGGCAGACCTGTATGTCAAATACACCATAACAAAAAAAATGTTTAAGCATTATTACAAAAATTAAAGAAGAAAACGCATCATATATGTATTGACAATTACAAGTAGCATAGGTGATTTAATCAAAGTGTGTTATTCATCCCATCTGAAGGACTAAACACACTTTTTTTACAGCACTACAGGCACTACCCTCAAGCAAATGAAAAATGTCAAATGTTTGACATGATCCATGTCCTAATCACACAACCACAATAATTATATCAAGAAACTAAAGCATGCTTGTTACAGACTCTAACTGATAACAAAATGGCAGTCACGATATTGTTCCACAAACGAGTTTAACCTGCAACAAGTTACACCATTGAGAACATTTAAAACAGAATTCATTACCCACCAATTTCCATCTGAACTTCTAATCTACCAGGTCGCATCAGAGCTTCATCTATCATATCTTTTCTGTTTGTCATACCTATATCATCCATTAAGAGAAAATACTCATTTTATGTCTTATATGTAATTAGTGGTCTAATTAAAATTTGACCATACTTTCCTTTTTTTTCAAAAAGATATATTTATGTATTTTCACATCTACAAGGTCTAACACCATCAATTGACCTGACCTGATCATCTGACCAATGAAGAGATGTTTTGTCTTGGACAATAATTATTTTAACCAATCATAGTGGGTAAAATTAAAACTGGAACAAAATAAAAATCTAATATTAATTGGATTGCAGCATGAAGACATACATACCTATGACTAGAATATTATTCAACTGTTCTACACCATCAAGTTTTGCCAACAGTTGATTTACCACTGTATCATGTACAGCAGAACTACCTGCCTAGAGAGAAATAATAATCAACGAATTAGACCTACGTATAATAGCTTACAAGAAAATAATCAGTAACAACTGTTAATTGCCTATCCCTTCCAGAAAATTCGAAATAAAACATTGTTTAAAAGAAAAATGATAAAAGAAACAACACCTAGGTTCTCAATTAGAGTCTCAAAAGCTATATTTGAGAAATTTAACATTAATGATATATTTTGGTATTGGCCGCATGCTAACAATTACATTAGAATGAGGTAAGAAATGATTACAATTGTTTGTTGTTGGAAGATTATAATGCATTATCTTACCACAGAACCTCTGGCTTTACAGATAGCATCAATTTCATCAAATATAATAATATGTAGACCACTGTTCTTACCACACTAAAATATACAAAGGTAGTTACATTTAAATATCAGCTTATTTAAGTAATATCAACAAGCAGACCTTGATCCAGAGTCTTAAAAACAAAACGATATTTAGATATATATCTTAATCCGATTGTAGCTAATAAAAAAATTTCTTTTGATTTATTCACCTATATATACATTATTAATTTTGCCTATGTAGGATTTTTGTGGAATACCCCTCATCCATCGTGGGACATCAAAACAAATTTATGAGCTGATAGCTGATTCATTTTCTACTATACATACACTACAATCACATTCTGCACACCTTACTTTCTGGGCACGATAGGCAGGGCCTCTAGCAATCACTTGCTGAATATTGGTAAAGGATTGACAGCATCAAAAGTTTTTTCTTTATATACATCTAGGCCGAAGAAACAGTGAAAGATCTATTTTGGCCATACAGTTATGATTTACTCAAAATAATTTCAAGTTTGCTTATATAATTACATTTTCAGTAGAGGAAGGGTCAATCAGCACAGGATCAACAAAACAGACAAGCCTAGCAATAGATGGTAGTTTCTGGGTAGACCAAGAGTCTTATGACTTGAATTGATGTACTTTTTTCTGATAAAGCAAAACACAAGTCATTATTAAATAAATTTAGCAGTTCACCCTTTTTTCTTCTTCTTCAGCTTCTGCAAACAGACGTCTAACATTAGCCTCTGATTCACCAACATATTTATCTAAAACTTGTGGACCATTTACAATCTTTGGTTCTCTGGCATTCAACATTTTTCCGATTTGTCTAAAAAAAATAAAACCCCAAATCTATATAAAATATTTTCCAAACTAGACATTGCAATGAATATGCCTGAGCATCACATCTCCATAAATATAAACCTATGACAGTCATTTCCTTTGATTTTGTGAATTGATTTAGTACTTGGGATGTACTTTGTTATAGCATGTGTTGTCATAGCTCAATCAAGACTGCTAGCTTTAATATACCTATAGAAAACAGATGTATGATATGATAGTATTTTCAATTATATATGAATTCTGAACAATATTTGGATGGATGGTAACCAGACAAAAGAAAATAATTTCATGGCTGGTTTTAAACCTAGTGTTCTGCCTGTACACTGTTAGGCTAAGCAATTAAATAATAATAAATCTACTTACCTAGCCATTAAAGTTTTGCCTGTACCAGGAGGACCAAACAGTAAAATACCACGCACGTGTTTCATTCCTAAAAATAAAATATTCTGATAAGAATGCAATATGAGTATGAAGAAGCCGTAATTTTGATTGGTAGAATATTGTTCTTGTTTGTTGTGATATAACTACCTGATATACCATAAAAACAGATTTGTAGTAAAAAAAAGGTTTCTCAGCAATATCAGAAGGTTCATCAGTGACTACAAAGGCATACACTTAGATTGATTTATCACAATTGTTAGAACAGTTTCTAGTTGTTTGCAAGAGATGAAAAACAGAGGTCCTATCAGGCTGTGAATAAGTTGATGTGCTTGTAAATCGTTTTTGTAAACGTTGTCATTTAACATTCATTTCATTTCTACAGAAGAGCATTCAACTACCGAGCAGATTTAGTTTATTTAAATTTTGAAAATTGTCATCAATTCAGTGTTACCCAATTAAATTAAAATTATCAAAACGTACTTACCCAACTGTTCAACAATTTCAGGAGGGAAAACTCGTGATGCAAAAGCTCTCCTAAAGATGGCTGAGAATTCTTTGTCTAATCCACCTATACCCATTTTATTAAAATCCCAATCTGGATTAATAATAGACTGATGCTGAGCTGTTTTACTAGAAAACAAAAGAAAATGTATTTATTTTCAAAGATATGTTACCCACTAATAATAGCCTATCTATTTATTTAAAACACACAAAATTTTGGAGAAAGTTTCAGCTGGACAAGAGTGATGGGAATTAACATTAAAATAAATGGGAAACACCATTATAAAGTAATCTGTGGCGGCATCAATTGCTAAACAAATATATTTATTATACTATCAAATAAAAACATACCCTTTTGATTTTCCTGATAAATTAATTTGAGAATTTTCGGCTTTTTCAAACATCACAGCTGAATTTGGTGTCAGAAGTCCAACTTGTGCCTTAAAAAAAAAAGAAGGCTACCAACAAACTTACACCATTGTTAAGTGGTCTTTAACCGCATCAATTGCTAACTGATGACTGTTTAAAGGGACATTGCCAAGTTATGTCCCTTTCACTATTGATTTTAGAGTTTACATTACAATAATAATGTGTATCTCTCTTTACTTTGTAAACATTGTTTTAATTTATTACTGGTTTCAAAGATTATTGATAAAAAGAATTAAAAAGTGTACACTTGACATTAATTGTATCAAAAATAAATATTACTATATTTATGTCCATCACAGCACAGAGTTAGTAAAGTTACAATAGATAGTTATGAACTGTGAGGATCTTTCTACATGTAATTAATGATCCATGTCTGTAATTTGAGACTTTGCAATTAGATCATTAAAACATTTATAAAAATATTCATACATATTATTATATACCTTCCTGGTTTTTCCTGTTATTTTATCTTTATCTGTTGTTGTATAATCAACCACTGAAAATTAGAAAATATACAGAAGTTTAAATTAAACCAAAATTTGTGTTTTTATTTTAATTCATCTTAAATTTTCAAACAATGATCTACAACCCCACCTGTGCAGCTTTTTTGTCTTATTGATATCCATGATTTTAAAAGATAGTTTGCCAGGTAACAAAACATATACCTACAGCTGCTAAGTCGTTCGGGCAGTCAACAAGGGTTGTAACATAGTTTTTATTTTGTCGTTAATGAAACATTTACAATACACTAAAATCTGATTAAGAGTAACAACTCATTAAGTAATTATTAGAAATCATTAGAATTTGTTTGGCGTTTAGTTCTATCCCATGCTAATGCTAAGTATACAAAACATTTCATATCATAGATTTAGCTGAACTCAAGTTATCAAAAATCATCTAAAATATATAAACTATGAGCCAAACATGGGGCATGTATAATGGGGTTGTCCTGCTGTAATGTTGAAATTTGAAACAATAACAACGCAGCCTTTACCTTCTCGAAACAATGATCTATAATATAATATTACTACATACACAGCTCAATATCTCTAGAAGAAATGTTTCTGTATTGCAAGTTTGATTGGCTACATGAATGTCAACAACACTGACATCCCATGATGTAGAACAGCATAGCCATTATAAAACAGTATGTTTTATTTAATTATACTCACCATCAATGTCCTCAACATTAACAATTAACATTCTATTTTCATATTTAAACACCAATGGTTCACCCACTGCCAGACCAAAATTACCAAATGACATCAAGAACTCGGCAGCCATTTTATCACTGTCTAATGTATCTGAATTAGCACTACAAACAGATAATAAAAATATTTCATTCATTTCATACTTTTTACATATGTTGTAAAAACAAGAATTATTTATAATAGGCCTAACAATTTGGAACAACTATAATCACATTGGTGACATTTTTTTTTAACTTTTCACATGTTTCTTCTCATTGGAAAGTAGTAGAGCATATAATTTCCTATTTTTATCACTTGACTTCTCAAACAATAGGTGCAACTTTAATGTCATAAAACCAAATTATGGAGCACTTATAGACTGCACAAGTATAAATTTGTATCATACAAAGACTGCAGATGCAAGAAGTTTTATACAGTAATTAATTGATAATTCGTTTTCCAGGGGAATCAATACTCCATCAGTTTTTACACAAATATCAAGCAATTTTGGCTTTAAATCATGACAAAATGAATGAAGTATTTCATTAAACACAATTAAATTCCTGTTGTTTTATTTTATTAAAAATATACACAAAAGTATAACTTACTGTTTCTTATTAAGGTAATCAATTTCTAGTACTATTGCACCAATACACTGATTCTTGTTATTGAAATGAAACTTTCTGACACTCAACTCTGATCCAATTACTATACTTCCCCATTTTCTCTATAATGACAGACAGATAAAAAAAACACTCTTTACTGATGATTCACATATATCTAAATAAAAAAAACCTATGGACTATTTTAGTCAAAACTATGTACTATTTTAATGTAAAGCAAAACTATGTACTATTTTAATGTAAAGTCAAAACTATGTACTATTTTACTGTAAAGCCAAACTATGTACTATTTCAATGTAAAGCCAAACTATATACTATTTTAATGTAAAGTCAAAACTATATTTATTATGTCGTTATTATGTAATTAAGAACATCCAGGTATAAAAAAATCCCCAAAAAGATAAGATAGAATTATGAATACATGTAGTAATATTAGACATTAATGTTATAGTGTAAAATCAATAGAAACATTAATGTAAACTTTACTGATCGACTTGAATACTTGATTGTGTATGGTTTTAAACTCCATTTCTAATCCTTGAAATTGAATTGCAGCTGATAAAAACCTTAGTTTTATAGTATTCAAAAAACTTTCTCTGTATAAATGATACGCATCATAATCACACTAGAACCAACGCAGGCACTTACATTACAATGTAAGCAGTTTAAAATATGAAATTTATGATGATTCAAAACCTATGTAGCCATACTTACATGAACCGCATTAAATGCTACTTTACCAGGTCCAATAGCTGTATGTGGTAATACTGTAAATATGTAGCTTGTATGGGGTATCACAGATACTTCTATATGACTGAAATAAAGTCCTAAGATAAGACAACAATACTACACCTAGAATTCTATACATAAAAATCAAATCCTATATAATTTAAACAATTATTAAAACATGCATTTCCGAAACACACAAGAAATGTCTACATTATGGAAGACCTATGCAGTTCTTATCACCTCTCTAAAGGAGCAGAAAGAGGGTGGCCATGTTTAGCCTTGATTGTATGAATAGCCATATCTGCCAAAATGTGTAAAATTTCATACAGCAGAATAATTTTTGAAGTGCATCCTATAATAATTTCTTGATAAAGCAAATTCTATTAGAATCTCGGTGTAAACAATATCCAAACAGTAAAAGTGGCAGCAGGTTAAATTAATGACCAAGCCAAATGATGATATTTATTTTATATCTAGTTCTGTTGACCATGTAAAAAATTTTATAGGGCTTTTAAATAAAACAAACCATTTGTGATATTACCAGTTTAAAAACAAAAGCCATTTTCTAACAAGATATCAAAAATTGGATATATGTACATTAGACTCATATTCCTCAGTTTTTCACTTATTTATTAGTATTAGCCCTGATAAATTAAGTTCATTCAGTATTTAGAATGCAAGTATAATCTTACCTAGCATCTTTAAAATCAGCTGTATTAACAATGGCTGCATTAGTCAGTGACAGATCATCACTGGGACATTTGACAGCTTTCATTGACATCTTCTAAAAAAATATAAACAGAATTTTCTTTGACAGATTTTTACAATTGTAGTTTTATCTGGTTAATAAACAGCACAGTAAAACTTGTATATTTAGATCAATGGTAACAACAAGAATTCATCAGGTTTATAATGAAGTTAATAATAAGAGTAGTATATTCCCTTAATCAGAAATTCATCTACATCATGCCCATAGGAATAATCATATGACTACTAGTACTCAACTAAAGTAAGATGTCATACATGTATAAAGAGTCCGAAATGGCTGTTGAGTTCATTATGATAGCCAACGGCTGTTGAGTATCAGAATGATAATGCTCTATTTTTTGTCAGTTTTCAGACCATTTCATTTACCGGGTAATGGTAAAAAGCCTCATCTGGAAGCATAATTACAATTTCAATATGTATTGACCAATGATCATTCAAAATGTTTTTTATGTTGGAAGTTACATGTTTGACCATAACAATACTACATTTACCTATCGATATCACATCTTGGCACAAATGTAGCTCTATCGTTTTTTGTTCAGAACTTTGGATACATAAGTAGTACAAAAGTCGGAGCTGTATCTTTAGAAGTAATATAATAATATATAGGTATACCAGGTAAGAATCTGTCTGAAATTTGTTTAAAACCCTTTGAACCACAGGGCCAAATCTTTCGGACTCTCTCCTTATCATCATCAAACATAATAATAATAACCACAAAAAAAAATATTAGGCAGTCAAAAATTCTGGACTAACACATTTTAAAAGAATGTAGGTTCATAGGTATACATGTATGGGAACTCTAAATAAAAACATTGTAATATCAAGCATATATAAAATTTCAAGTCAACCAAATTCCACCGATCAATCAACACAATAAAATTAAAGACATCAACTTGATCTTCTTTGCTCATAAAAAATCAATAAATAATGGATCTATAGGGACATTTAATTGGACTATACATTGAATTAAGATTTGATCTGTCTTATGCCATCCATGCCTTAACTTGTATAGCAACAAGTTAAGTGATTTGCTTGCTGGGGAAAAATCAATATTTCTGCTATAAATGAAGAAAATACTAATACTATCATCACACGAGTCTTACTATATGTATAGCCAATATTAGACTACATATATATCTAACAACATGAACATTGGTCACATACATATCTGTATTTTCAAAAGGTCAACATAATTTTATACAGTAATAATTAACAAACAATTATTACTGAAATTCTTCTAAACTGAATTGAATTTATTCAAGCAATTGCTCAATGAAATACTGTAGTACAGTCAGGCTAATCCAGTTCTAGCAAAAATGTAAGGTACATGTACATGGTATTGATTCTAGATTCCATTAGAATATTCCTGGTATGCCAGAAATTACTGCTTGGGATTCTGGATTGTGACAATAGTCAAGTGTTGAAATATGAATTTGAATCAAGATACACATTTTCATGTCACAAACAGATCATTTGATATTTAGATCTTAACTTATCAGTGGCACGGTTTCAAGCCCAGGGTTGCACATGAAAGGAGTAGGGCTGTCTGGCCAAACCCATGTCTAATTAATAATTTAGAAAACATTTCAGGCCTAAAGAAAGACCTGCAATAAGCAGATTTAGCTCTCGCATAATTTGTTTAAGCTTATACTGTATGTGCTTTTATTTATGTCATTTTAAGTTTAGTTCAATACAATACACATTTTAAAACAAATACCAGTAACCTAGTACATGTACTTAGTATAATGGAAAATTTACTATGTTATTGTGAATAAGTTACATGTATGTATAGAAAAACAATCAAAATATTTAGCTTACCTTGTTCAGAAAATAAACATAAAAGTAGATTTTGTTTACATCGTAAATTGTTCAGAAAATAAACATAAGTTAGAATTATGGGGTTTAACGATTTATGGACCCAAATTTAACATAAATAGCAGACACGGTAGCATCCGAGAAAATGTACTACTTAATACTATCATGAAAATAAATGATCTGTAGAAAAGCTATCAAAATATTAGGCTAATCCTGTTTGGCTAAAAATGAAAATTACTCAGATCTAATAATAGGTAATTTGTGTTATTGGGTAGATCTGGTTGTTTATTAGATTTATGGCTAATATTAATTAGTCGGGTTAGTCATTAATTAACAAATTATGTTGTAATTTACATATAGGTTCATGTATATTTCTACAGAGATATATACCTTTGTCAAGTACATGTAAAGGTGTGATTTAATCAAAGCATTTAATTTTAATGTGTATTTTAGTATAGTGCTATTAATAACAAAGTTTTACACATTTGTCAACCAATTTAGTGTATTGCTTTCAGGCAATATCAGGCAGGTCTCTGTTACTTGGTTATACATGTATTAAATTCATCAATATAAATATCTGCCCAAAATGATCTACATGTATAATTATGTGCTATTTTTGTAGGTTTGACCAAAGCTTTTGGGTTGACTGTATTTTACAAAACTCCACAAAGCAAACTTCAAAGGTTGCATGTATAGGTGGGGAGAGGATTTTTAATGACAGACACATTTACGTGCAGGAAACTGTGAGCAAAAAATTCACAATGGAAAACGGAACGCTTCAAGTTTCCGTCATCAGCCCAACGACCGCACTTTCTGGAAATCCTAAAGATACCAAAAAAATACAATTTTTGCTACAATGTTAATACTCTTGATCAAATCTCTGAATGGACAAATGACTGGGGACTCAAAATATCAGAAGTAAAGACAGTAGCAATGTTGTTATTCCACCAGACTGACAGCAATAGAAAAATTGAGTTGAAACTTAATACACAAATCTAAAATTTAAATCAGAGTAATTCAGAGACAAAGTTTTCTTTGCATGACTTTTGACTCATGGCTAATATGGAAGTCACACATCGTCTGCATCTTCAACCGCACATTCAAACCCTAAACATGATAATCAGACTGATAGCCATGTACCATAATAATATGGTACGCCTACACATTTATAGAATTATTTAGTGTTTCTTGATTTCACAGACACACTCATAAATTAGACAAAACACTTTTTCTTTCCTTATTGCAAATTCGTTGCAGATTATACTGGTATGCAGCTATTTGATTGATGATATTATTACCATGTAGATTATCATTTGATAATACTGGGTAATAATACTATATGGTGATATTGGGTAGCATTGGGTTATTAATTGTTACTTTTGGGTGGACTGGGATATTGAGAAATTGTTAATCACATTTGAAGGACCTTTTCCATGATTTAGAACATATTATTATTCAATAAATCACTAATTACACTATTTATCGTCATTTTTTTTTTCTTATTATTAAATATATCATATGCAAATATATTTGAAATAACGGTACGGTACATACATTTGTATGGTATTCTTGCCATTTAAAGTAGCTAAGTCTCTAACTCAATATCATCAAAAATCTTCGACATTGAAAACACAAATTATTTGTCAATTCAAATCAACATTGGTCTTGTGATCTTACATAGAAAAGATGGGCTTCTGATATCCAATATTCAAGACAAAATAAACATTTTACCATTGGTACATGAATCGTGTACCATAATGCGTTTCAGTGCCATTTGGAACAAGGGACTCAAAGAACAGGGCTAGACATATTCCACATGTCATGTCAAATAGTGACGCTATATTCTTATCTGGAGAGCATGCGCAATAAATACCATCGGTGTAGATTGGAAAAACCAGACCCTAAAGATTGCCATTCACATGAGACTTCTGGCGTATTTCGCCGAAAATAACTAATTAGAAATTACAGTAAAAACAGAAACGATTGAATGTAAATCAGTTTATATACATTCACATTACATTATTATATAAGTTGTGAGTCATTTTTGTCAATTCTAGGTCCCAAATATTAGCGATTTAGCTCCTTTATATAATGGTCCAAATAAGCCAAGAATCACCCATACTGGGCCATAGTCTAAATGAGCCGATTACCACGGGTAGGCTACCCATACCATGTAATGTTTCATTCAGTAAATTTAAGACATGGATAATTTAGTTCTACGTGTTGGCTAGTCCTCGCTTTATTAATGTGATTATCTATAACAGACGCACTTGTCTATTTCACTATTTGCCAGTGGCTATATACATATACAAATACTACTATAAAGGGGGCGTTGATCTGGAAATGCAAGACGTCTATTACTCTATATGTGATGTCATTCAACAACACGAAAATATTGCCAACCTGGCAGACGCGTTGTCATTATCTAAAAATAGCTATGGCAAACTTGAGCAAATTGCAATGTTCTGAAACAATTTTTAGTGTTTATCTGGTCATTTTCATTTAAATACATTTTCCTAAATATCAATTTACCTAAAAGGCATTCATTTATAAATAAATTATTAGAATTATCCGTACCTGAGACGCCATGATGAAATGGGAAGTAACTCTGAATTTAAAATTTTAGGGTAAAGACCACATTAATAATTCAAATTAAAGAGAGAGAGAGAGAGAGAGAGAGAGAGAGAGAGAAATGGGGTTTAACGTCCACTCGACACAAACTAGGTCATTTCGGGACTAACATATGGTTTAATTTTATTTACATAATTCGCTTGCGCGTAGGGGTCTTTAGCAGTGGGAGGAAACCGGAGGCCCCGGAGAAAACCCACGAGGTTGGACAGGTGACACTACTCCTTGCCACGTACAACCGGGGATTCGAAACCACGCCAGTCGACTCAATGACAGACTTTATGATACAGCGCGCGCACGCTAACCACTCAGCCATCCAATCCCCCTTAAAATTAAAGGTTTAATTCTGTCTTAGTCTTACACAGCGAGGAAAACAATGACAATAAAATCCCTGTTAAAATCGTGGTTGCAAGTAGCCTACACAGCATTGAAATATATAACTACATCTAGTTTTACTTTGCCATGTTTTTACACTAATTTGTATTCATGGACTTCAGTTTGAAAAACATCGGGTTCTACATACTATATTTTTATTCTATATATTTGCCCATCATACTCTTCTGTGCGGTATCATTAGATTATAGCCTATAGGCCTACTAGAAAAATAGCCGGCTTCACCCGGGGCCCAATCGGCCCAAATTCGACGGTCTAAAACATTCACGGGGTCATGCCGGTTAATTTAATTTTGCGCCTGTGCTGTCACAGATTGCAGCCAGAAACACGACTAAAGGATTAAACTGGGTATTACCTAGTTTTGTGGAGGTTATGTTCCCTTTTCAGGACCGACCCATGTGGCCCTGGAGCCCCTGATAGGCATGTATGTGGTGTTATCGTATCACTCCCATGCTCCTATATCCAGAAATATATTATTTGTCTCTAGATATAGTTTGTGTTGGTGAAATAATGGCCCTCAACGGCCACTATCGAGTTATAGAGCAATATTGTCTGGCATTTTGGATTTTACCCCACAACATAATGAACGATTTTATTGAATTCCTGGGCCCAAGAAATATACGGTTAGACACCAAAATTATCATCCTAGAACAAATACTATTGGAGATATAGGGGATTATTTGATGTGGCGACCGTCTTGGACACCATCTTGAATTTCTCAAAACGCTCAAGGGTGACCGAGGTTCACCCTACAGATTCCGAAAGAGGACAAGCTTGGCTACTAAAATCAACCATAAAAAAACTTTATATACAATTTCCAGGTTCACTTGAAATATTGAGTTTGGCGACCGGACTAGAGACACCCTGGTTAGCGAGCCAGTGCCATACTCGCTGAGCCACCGCTGTTCTTTGGCGAGTCGTAGTCCTACACATTTTCAAAGTGTACAGCAAACGCCGGGAGTTTAGTAGGCCAGTGGGTCTATTAGGTCTGTATCTTGAACACAGTATTATCCCAAAATAAATGGATTTATAGACCTAAATAGTATAGAACAAAATACAAAATAAATGTATTTATAGGCCTGAAATCAGCAACTGAAATAAAGGAAAAGAAGGGGCAAAGTTGAAAGTTGCGGTTAAATTGCTAAAAGTAGTATTTTAAGGACTTGGATACAAACAATAAATACAAACTAGAGATCGATGAATACTTTAGAGTAAAATATGTCTGAATCAAACAAAATTAGAGGTAGCCTAAAAGATCAATGACGAATTGACGATTATTACTTTCATACAAAACAAAGAAACACAAATTCTACGACATTCTAAAGAGCACGGGTAATCTTTGCGATTAAAAAGCTACTTATACAATTGAACAGTGAAAATCCATATTTACGTTACCCATTTAGGACATTTCTATAAAGAATTTGAAGGGCAGTGGCATTAGGGCCTCGGAGAGGATTTCACCCCTCAGGGCCTCAGATGTGAGTATATAATTGAATTTCGGCATACGCCTATCTATAGTTGAGTTTTGGGATTATAACGCCTTTGCGTTACAAGTGTTACCGATTTAATGGCATTTAGAAATTGAACTGGAATGTACAGGTCGCAATTCTATGGAATACAATTACTGCTTATTACTGAGCGACGCTTCGACTAGGCTTCTCTGGTCATTAGCAAGCAATGACTAGAGAAGCCTAGTCAAAACATTGTTCAATCTAGAGAAGCCTAGTCGAAACGTCGCTCAGTAATAATCAGTAATTGTATTCCATACAATTGTGACCTGTATACTTAATAATTATTTTACCTTCCATCTCTCACATAGTATCAAAGGGGTGTGATTTTCACTTGACTTTATCGGTATTGACTTACTGCGTCTATAATTTTCTTTATAAAGCAGTGGGGAAAGTGGAGCAATCCCTGACCCCTGTTATGCAAATTAAGCATTTCAAAACAGAAACTAGAGGAATAGATTGGTATATTTCTTCGCATTTTGGCCATCTTCAAAGTAACTATTGGGACAAGTTGCTGATTGGCCATCAAGTTATTGGTAGGTCCATTGTTGTTTAGATCTTTAATTTGTTTTTTATTGCGTATACTTTAATTAGATTGATATTTGTATTTCAGGGACCAAGTTTTATCAGCTATAGGTTAAAATAAAGTATTGAATTGAGTTTATTTGGGGTGTTATTTCGATTAGTGATGAGAAATGTATATCTATATTTTTCATTTCCAAATATTAAGCTGAAGTTTGTTTGATTATTTATTTTAGTTTCGTTTTTGGCTTAAACTAAACAGTCAGCTAAATCTCTCAACATTGGCTCTATCTTTTGGACCTAACAATTTATTAGAAGTTGATAATTAACAGATCATCATATTATTTTAAAATCAAATCAAAGAAGTCTAGTCATTTTAACGAACTGATAACCCTTTAGTATTATATTTTTGATCTGTCCTACATGGTCTCAATATTCAGGTGGTAAAATATACCATTATAAGGGAGATCATTTATATTCTGGCAAAACCAGAAGGATGCAGACCACCATTAATTTCCCCATTGACCTCAATGTAAATGCTAGCCTCTTTGCCTGGTTGGACTGAACGCTTTTCACTGCAGATGGAGCAACAAGTCCATGTCTTTGCTCCAGATTTTGTATGAAGTTGACTACTGAATTTGAGATATACAAAGTTCAAGTAGCATACTGAAATCATGTAATTATCCACCGTACATATTATCATAACTCCGTTAACCTTCCACCTCTTAGCCATGAATATTTACCAACACCTGACAGAAAACGTTAATTCAAACCCTTTTCTTCGATTCTAGAACACAAATGGCCATGCAAGATGAAGAAAAGGGATGAGGGAGAGAATTGCTTTGTAAATAGATGAACTACACGTCGAAATTTAATAATACTTTTTTATATGCGATGCGACCCATTTGTGTCTATTACTAGGTGCCAAAGAATAACGATTTAGCTTCTTTAAGCATGAAACAACTTCGACTACGTTTAGAACAAGCCTTGGTTTCCAGGAAGCGTCGTCCAGCCGTAACCATGACCGACTGATTCTTTGCTGTCTTTAGGGGACATCGTTAACATTATTATTTCCCAATAATTTAAAATCGTAGTCTTATCATCGTGAAAAAGCGGTAGGGCTGTTAAAGATAAGACACGCCTGGTGATAGGTCAAATAAGTTCAATACTGCTTATTCTCTTTATATATATCGGACTTCTTGGCGCACGCAATCTACACTCCTAAGACAACTGACCTCTAGCATGATCTCTATAATTCTGGTAAGCTTTTATTTTAATGGTATGTATACCAAGTTAAATCGAAAGAGCTCACAATTCTAAAATGACATTCCATATTACCTTCATCGATAAATATTAAAGTGATACGCGCATATAGCAGACGGTCACTTCCATTCGGTTAACTCCACTTTTTAACCCCCCCATGTGTGCATTATTCTACCCACTGAGCCACCGTGGCTACCCAAAGTTCGTGAATATACTTATTATACTTATTATAGGAATAGCAGTTTCCTGGCAACAATTTTAGGTTTTTAATTTTTTAAAATGGTCGCCATCAAAGAAGCATCTAATACTACTGCGTCATAGAAACGCGAGAAATTATGGTACTTTTCCAAAACTATTACACTTTATGTTATTTATGACTTGTGAATTGGTGTTCAGAAATGACTCTTTAAACATCAACATTCATATTTATGATTGAACGTTCATTATTAAAATTTGTTAAGGTTGTTTTTGGTTTTTTTAGATTTTGTCTCTCTGTGTGTCATCATCGCTTTCAGGTACGTAAATAAATCCCCACACCATAATCGTAATCATTATATTTTGCTACAGGTTTTCAAGTACAAATTACATGTTTTTAGACTCTGTGCCATTATCATATTCTCCTTCCAGAGCAAACTTTACGTATAGCTGTTGGTGCACGGGGTGAATATCAAGGGCGTTTAGAAGTTTTACATTCAGGGATCTGGCGAAACATTTGTGACGATAGTTTCAACAGAAAGGCGGCCCAGGTAGCTTGTAGACAGCTAGGATTATACAACCCAAACAAGTAAGAATTATACGTCAATTTAATCTGGTATAAAGAATGTGTGTAATAAAAATTACAAATTGACAGACAAGGATAAAGAACCAGTATATTAAATATATTTAATAAATTACGGTACCATTTGGTTTCAGTTTAGCCACGTCATTATTAACGGACAAAGTGGCATTCGATGAATCACTAAAACAATGGAGGGACCTATTAATGGCTGAAGGAAAACGTTACCAAAATATATGAAGATAACCCAGAAGTTAATGGCGATCAGTAGAGTCGCAGCGCAGTGGTTTAAATACAAAAGTCTCTATAAATTATAATAAATTTACTTATTACTTCTGTTTCCCTAATCACATTGTTGGAGATATTATCTTTTCTTATAATACATAATACATATGATACGAATAATTGTTTTCATAATTACAGTGTTGATAACATAGACTTTTATGCTTCTAATAATAACACGTGGTTTAGAAACAGTGGAGACTATTGGTTGGATGACGTTCAGTGTA